ATAGTATTGGTGCAGAGCCAATACTGTGGCCAGCTTTATAAGTGCCTATACGGGTCACACACTTTGGACAATTTAAGGAGTAGGATTAAACAATGGGATAATAAGTAATTTGTATATTTGTAGAAAATAGTAAAATAAAATATTTTGGAATATAATATTATATATATAAATATTCGGTTATATATATTATATATATGTACCGATTAATGTATATATATTATATGTTGAATATTTTATTTTGGTTTGTCATTTTAATTATGAAAATTATTTTGACATAAACTATTTAAAGTATATTTGTATACTTGTTTAAAATGATATTGATATTTTATTTGATTTAAAATTAATTTTATATTAATTTATTGGTGTCAAATAAAATACACTTTAAACATTTAAGTGGAGAAGAATTTCAAAAATCCTTCTCACTTTTATAATCAAACTTTCGGCCATCATAAGGATTTTGAGAATCAAATTTTCTTGATTGATAATTAAGTGGCTAGTTAATTTTGTCATTTAGCTAATGACAAAATAGTTTGATTAATCTTTTGTTTTAAATATACATGTCATGCACAATTAGTCCACTTTAAAAAAGATTGGTTTTTCACAAACCAAATGATGAGTGTGTGAAGGAAATTCGGCCATAATTTTTCTAGTGAGAGAAAAATATTAGTTTGGTTCCATTAATATCATTTTGTGTATAGAAAATATCTATAATATTTTCTAAATATTATTAGAAATATTTTCTATAGAAATATACAAGATTATTATTATCCCAATTTTAATATTTATATTTTATACTACTATAATCTTTACTAGCATAAAGATTGTGGTAGACTCCGGCGTTGTTCGTGTGTCAAAGTTGGAGACCGGACGCTTGAACGGTTACGTTTGCACTTTCAACGCTCTTCCTACGACTTCTTCGTTTTTAACGCTTACGGAGAAAGGTATAAATTTCTTATTTACTATAAGTTTTAGTACGTGATTCTGGACAAGATAATCATGTTAGGATGTTAAAATTTTTATATATTCCCCTGCCTATCCTTGCATGGTTACCTTTCAGAAAGTTCTTCAGACAATGTTCTTATCATGAGTCTGAACAAATCAGTAAAGTGGAAGCAAGTGGTGTCTCCCTCTCCCAGTGATGAAGCACCACAGAATCTTGCTCCAATAAATCTTGAAGAAGAAGAAAAATCCTCTGACCAAGGAGAACTACAAAGGAAAAAGAAGAGGAAGATCACCTCTCCCTCAACATCTGGACATGTCAATCCGGATGAGTTGAAGGAGAAAGAACCAACACTTGAAGAACCAACTGAGGAAACCTCAGCTCACAACCGAAGTCCTCAACAACTTGAAGAAGAAATTCCTCAAGTTCAGAATTCTCCAACTTCCTCACAACCTCAAGTAGATGATGCTGAGAATCAATTCTGACAGCTCTACTATGACTGGAGAGCTTGGAAAGTTGGAAATTCAGTAGAACAGTTGCTGAGTTGGGACCAGCAATTGAAGAATGAAAAGATCATCAAGAAATGCTTAGGTCTGCCTGTCAACTATTGCTGTGAGCAAATCCTGGATGTTGACTGGGTATGGCAAAGAAATTATGAAGATTTGCATCTGGAACACTTGGTCACCTCACCAATTTCAGAGTTTGAGGTGGATGATGAGGATCCTGCAGTATACAAACCAGTCCCCTCAAAAACCACAGAAGATCAGGTGGTTCTCACTTCTGAAGCAAGAGCTAACTTGGAAACAACATCTGAGGATTTCCAAATATTTCCGGAAGCCTCATCTGCCTTTGAAGTTGTTCCACCTGAAGCTGAAGTCTCTACACCAAAACAGAACCAGGAAGGATCAAATGAAGAATTCCAGCAACTTCTCCATTCTGAAGCTTTAGAGATTCTCACAAACCCCTATGAAATCACCAACCCCACTGAAGCAAAGATCCCGGAGGAGTCAACAGAAAATCTGGAGATGTCCAAAACCCCAGAAACAAACGAAGCTCAAGAAGAGCAAGCTGTAGAAACCCAGAGAAGTTCTGCTAAAGCTGAGAAGGAAACTCAAATGGCAGAATTGGAGGCCTCCAAATCTCCAGTAGCCATTTTTGAAGGACAGAACGAAGCAGAAGAAAGAGACTCCCTCTCTCGGGATATATCAAATTTTACACTTGGGAAAGCAGAAGAAGAATCTGAAAGGACCCTGAAGATCAATGATGAAGAAGATGTACAAGATGATGCTGAATCTCTTCCTCTGCAACTCTTCCAAAGAACTCTCTCTTCTCATCAGGTAACCAACTTCCATTTACCTAGCTCTTCCATTCCTACTCTTGCGGATGAGGTACCGGAAATCTGGACAAAGAAGGTCCAAGGGCTGATTGACTCAGCCCTAGCATCTCAAAATGCCTCCTTTAGGCAAGAGATAGAGCAGATGGAGGCCAGGCAAAACAAACTGATTGAGAAATCCGAAGAAACACATTGCTCCAATCTCAAGGAGATAAGCAAATCAGTGGATAAGACTCTAGAGATCTTATCTCTATTGACTAACACTGTGAGCAACACGATGGAGACATATGCATCAGATAGTTATCTCCAACTCAAGGAGGCTAACAACATCAAAGAGCAAGTAGCAAATGTCACAATCAGTCTACAAAAACAAATGTCCATTCTCCAAATGGACATCAGAGCAGCTTTGGCAGTGTCTTCAGCAAATCAAGTAGTAACCAAAGACTACTTGAAAGTAATCATTGACAATCAGAAGGAAGCACACAAATTATTCAGACTTCTTACCACAAATTCTGGAAATCGCAAGATGGAAGTGGTTCTTCAACAACATAGTCCATCCTTGATTCCAGAGCTTCCCATTAGAGTCAAAGAAGGAGAAGTGTCTTACATTCCTATGCATCTAAACTTGACTGATCTAGTCCTTGAAGCTCAGAGAAGCAATCCGGAAAACTCAACACAGCACTTATCCAGCTCCGGATTGGATGGAACAGAGGCTGTAGGAACAATTGCTGCTCACTTCTCAAATGAAATTCAAACAGAGGAGAGACGAAACAACATAAGGCGCATCAAGGAACTATGTTGAAGCATGCAAGGCATCAGGGAGATTGCCGAATCTTCAAGGCGCAAGAAGCACTGAAGGTTTTCTTCATCAAATCAGGGGGAAAGTATGTGAAAACATTAATTTGCTTTGATGAAAACACCATCTTGTTTAAACATCGCTCTATTGGTTGAAACATTGCCTTAATATTTCTCTTAATTGTGCTCACTATGCTTGATTATACCTAATTCAAGTATGTTTTTGAGTTTTATTCTTAGCGCATACATTCAGGTGGAATGTATTTCAGGGGGAACTTAACAAGTTTTTGGCTAACAATTTTTTTTGGCAATGAATTATTGATAAGCTCTAAGCAATGGAAGACGGATATCTCAGTTTTGGTACTAAAATTGGAAATCTCCGATTCAGGTACTTAACAAAATCTGCCTTCTTAAACTAAGCTTCAGTCCTTAATTCATTTCCAACAAGCTCTAAAAGTACTGGTCTCTAGGATTTTTAAAATGTACAGGACTTTGGAAAAATAGTACCACTTTTCTTTTAAAAATAAAAATTTATATTTGTTTTGGTACTACCTCGTCCTAAGTAGAAATTAGAACTATAAGGAATGAAAAATGATAGTTTTATTTTGGGCCTTGAGAACCCAATAGGAATAATTTCCCTTTAGTACGTAGCTTTCTTCTCTTTTTGGGCCACTCTTTTGGGCTTAGCCAAACTAAAACAATTATGATTCTCAAACCAAACGAAATTGATTTTCAAATTGGAACGGTTTCAACTCATTGGTAATTGGTAAAAGATTCCTTCCACTTTTCAACTTCTTGGAAGTTGAAACTCTTTTACTCTCACCGTTCCACCTACCCAATTAATGGAACCCGTGAACCTCCCCTCTCTCTACCTCGTCTCTTATTTAAATCAAGATATCTCAATCCATTCCTATCACAAATAGCTCTTTCAATACGAAAAGTCTTCAAACTCACTGTCTAAGAAACACACCAAGAAAAATATCCTCAATGGAGAAATTTTTCTTTCTCACCCTCATAGACGGCAATGGAAGAAGCCTATTGAGAAGAAAAGACTTTCAAGGTCTATGGTGAGAATCTCGGCAGTAGAGAAGGTCTATGGTGGAAATCTCGTATTTTTCAGTATTACACCATACACCTTCTCTGGAACAACACTCTATCTATCTTTCTTCTTGAGAGATGTGTTGCTTCCAAGATCTTAAATATCCACTTTGGATATTAAAGATCTATCAAACGCAACGCCAACCGCTCTGCCAAGCAGAATCTACTGAAGCTGAAAACGGTCAATGGCGGAAGAGATCACAAAATCTCAAGACAAGACTTGGTTTAGGAATTATTGTAATTTGAATTGTATTTGTTTAAGAGTTTTTGTTAACAAGCTGTATATTATTAGAAACTAAAAGAAAGTTACAAAATTAGTTCTCAGTACAGCGATCGGAACTCTTAAACACTTGTTTGTCATCATCAAAAAGGGGGAAATTGTTGGGAAAAATATCATAGATTTTGATGATGATGTATTTAGAATGTAATAGGGACTTTAGGTTTCCCCAGATATTCAATGTAATTTTTCCTTTTAGAAATATTGTTAAAACCAAGTTCTTGAGACTTCCAATAAAGTGTTGATATTTCATTAAATGGTTTGATGCCTGAAGACTTAATCAAAGTCAGAAATTTGGAAATTGGATATCTTGATCGGAAATGTCAGAGACAAGTAAGGATCTCTCAAAGCAGACGAAGATCCTCCTATTCGGAATACTACGTGAGAACCAGATGTCTCATTACAACCCGCTGAAGGCTAAGTCGGAAGACTAGCGCGGATTTCCTTCTCACCAGGAAAACTAAGTATGACTCTTCCGGATTTGTCAGCTAAGAACCGGATGCCTCAGGGAAGACCGAAATTCTCAAAAAGCGGACAAGTGAGAAAAGACTTAGAAAATTATCTAAGTCTTGAATGAAGAAATTCTACCCGTTGGTAAGGAAAAATGAATCTCTTGATTTTCAACGGCTAGATTGAAGATAATTATGCTGATTCAAGAACAAATGACTCGAAGACAAAGTCTGGACCTCTACGAATTGAAGAACCTGTCCAGAATTCCTAAACAAGCACTAGAAGACAAACAGAGTAAAGTTATACAGTCCAGAATACTTGAACAACAGCTAGAAGACGGACTCTATGGAAAAAGGAATCTCTCCTTTAACAAAACACCCATTCCAATGAGGAATCTTCAAATCACAATCTTCATTCAAAATTGAAGCCAGCAAATGCAACGGATAGTCTATTTTGATTCAACGGATAGATTATCCAATCCAGCTATAAATAGCATCCTTGGAAGAATGGAGAAAACATATACAACTCATCAACAATAAGAAGAACAACCAAAAAGAGGCTACCTCATTTACAGTTAGCCCAAAAAGCTTGATAAAGAGAGGTTTCGAAACTCCTAATCCAGAAGCAAACTTCTCCTCCATCCAAAAAGCTATAGTGTAAATACTTGTAGGTTTCCTTGCCTCAAGTAACACACCACGTTGAAGGATACAACTTTTGATTAAACTTATTGATTAAAAGGGGGTAGGTCAACTTTCTTACAAGTTGGTCTTGCAAGTCCTATTGTTCGGACCTTGCAGTTGTTGAAGAAGCGTGACCTACGAAGGACCAACAAAGCCAGCACGAGTGCAGTAACAACATTGGCCTTGCGAAGATATACCGTGCAGAAATTCACACAAGTGTAATTGTTGGTTCATTATTCAACAACCAACTACATAGTTGATTTTGAGGACGTAGAAGGATTACCCCACCTTCGAACCTCGTTAAAGTTTGCGTGTCTCTCTCTTTTATCTTTACTCTTACTTGCATTTATATTAACTGAGAAAAATAACCCATCCTTATTGAGCATACTATATTCCAGTGTAAAAAGGTTGAATCTGATAAAATTAGGATACCAGGACAGTGAAGATCTGAAACTTTTGAAGAAGATCTGGAATTTTGAATAGTTAGTTACGTTCTTTTTCTCTCTGTGCGGGTCTCAAACGAATTGACAAATTAACCCAAATTGATTGATGTAGACTTCGGCGAAGATCCAGCGATTCTCCTCCTGTTCTCATCCGCGGCAAACAGAGGCGTAGGCTGAGGTTGAAGATGATGGGATGGCGTTTGGAGACGGAGGAGGAAAAAATGGCGAACGGCTGAGAGAAATATTTCGAGCAATTAGGGTTTTAGGGGCGTAGAGCATAACGTGTTGTGAACTCCATCATTTTTTCATCATATATGGGGGTATTTATACATACACGGGAGGAGGTATAGTCGAGGTCAATAAGGAAACAATATATTCTAAATAGAATGAGAAATATATTTGCCATATTTAACATTCTAAATATTATTAGAAATATTTTCTAGAGAAATATTCAAGAATAGTTTTTCCCTTGTGCTTCACACGGGCTCGTATACTATCACGTAAAATATATTATACAAATTAAACATGTAAAAATTAAAACTAAAAATGAATATATATGAGTTGTGCAAAATGAATAAAATGTATAGTATTTTCTTATAAAGAGTAAGATGAAGTAGTGGAATAAAATATTAGAGAGCTCATTTATACATGAGTCATTTTTATATTTTATAATTAGGTTTTAAGTCATTTTATAATATATACGATTGTTTAATGATATCTTTATATGATGATGATTTATATTACATATGTGATTATTATTGTTGTTTTTGTTGATATTATAACCATCATAATGATGGTGCTAAATGCGGAGAGGGCTATGACATGGAAATTGGAGGAGAGGGTGTAACACCCCAATCCGTATAACCCGGAATTATACGAATTAAGGTGAAACGAGAGTTAAATAAAAATTTCGCTTGACATTTGACAATGACAATTTATTATAAATATTAAATTTACAGACTCTGGATCGCGACCCATTTAAAAATATTTTCAGAGTAATGCGGAAGTACAATAATAATCAAATCATGACATATTTTAAAATATGTTGATCAAACATTTTCCTGCTATCCTTGCATCTCCTCTGACTCAATGCCCTCCGGGAATGGTTCCATCATTGTCTTCTTGTTACCTACGTGTAGTCAACGAAAAAAAATACAAACTACACGCTCAGCGAAACCGCTGAGTGGTACCACGCTAGAATTGTAGAATGATTCACAGACGTATACATATACATATATATACGTCCACAAATGTATAATAATATTCATGATATGGCACATTATATCATATGGTCAATTTGATGATTCATGATGATAAATTTTTGATGATAATTACATGATGGCACATTTAATCAATTTGCTTGTGAGGATGATTACATGATACT